TTGTTTTTTGAGGTTTCAGGCAGTCTTGGAACAAGAGATCTGAACCTGATATGATTTAAGCAATTATGATTTTATCCTAATCCTGATTCCTGATTCCTGATTCCTGATTCCGGATTCCCGATTAAATTCAGGTCTGATGTTTCTGACGTCAAACTTGCTAGGGCATAAAGAATTTTTGATTAAAAATCGTGTAGAATTCCTAAAAATACTTGTCGTAACATAATTAATAAAAAATAAATATAAATAGTTATCGCTTATATTCTAGATACCTGATTTTTTTCGCGATTATTTGAAGCACTTTACTGCCTAGAATTTTCGAATCACGATTTTCCGTATTCATCATGATTCGGATTTTTTTTTTCTGATCGCGGCAGCTCCAACAGGTGAAGTCAAACGGCTGTTTTCTAAAAAAAAAAAATACGAAGTGGTTCGCGAGGAAATGGGAGAAAAATCCTGTCTACGAAACGTAAAAAAGTGGCTGGCTTCGAGAAGCGAACAAATCCAAGAACATTCCAGAAAAAGAAGAATTTCATGGAACACTTGTTCATTGTAAAAACGCGTGCGTATATATTCGTATTTCGAGAAGTTCAGCCAACGGATCTCAGCGTGCCATTTACCCGGATAACGAACTACATACCTCTGGAATTATTATTATCATGTATTTGATAAGCCGTTGGGAAATAGAGCGTTCAAATGATATGACATTTTTACATGCGCTGCACATAACGCATCCGGAAAAAATGAAAAGTCAGAAAATTAATCCCAAATCAAGAATATCCCGAACTCTTCAATCCTCATTTCTTCACTATCAGAAATATTTTTATCCGTTCTCATAAATTATTGATAACTCCATTTCCATCAAGAATATTCCCTGAAATCCATTTCAAGACGAAAAAATAATTGAAACTTCTATAATAACAAAAATTTTTGAAAATTCAATAGATTTAGTTCTCACATGCATCACCAAAAATAAAATTAAACTATTATCTTGTCAAATAAATTTGTATAAATCAATTAACCATTGCATAATTTTATTCTCAATAAAAAAACACTTTATTCTATTTTCAGTTGTATTTTTAATTTTAATATGCACTTTTTTCCGGCCGCAGACGATTTCAATTTTCATTCCGAAGTTTTTAAAAATCTTAAATAATTAAGTTTTGTCACCACGGCGTACTATTTTATTTCCACAATATCTCACCGGAGACCACATGCAAATGCAGTTTCTCCCCCCTCCCCCATCGTCAAAACATTTGACAAACAGTAATAATTTATTCAGATGTTTTCGCGCGCCTCTAGTCCAGTGTTTGAATTATATTCCACTCAACTGACACAACTTGCTTTTATGTTTTTATCCACACATCATTAATTCATCATCGCACAATTCATTCATTATCTTTATTGAAAAAGTCTGAATAACAGCAGTCCATTGAATTTTATGAAATTTTATGAAATCCAGGGGAATAATAAATATTTCACGAAAAATATTTAATCGGCAAAAATGCATTTTCCTGTTTTACTCTGTCGGAAAAAAAAAAACGTCAAGCGATTACAATCGAATTCGCCAATTCGCTTGGACGGCGAATACTCGTAGCGTGCAATTTTTATCAGTTTTTTTTTATCAGTGACTGAGATAAAGAGCCATTTGGAACAGTTTAGCCTTAACGAGCGTCCACCCTCGTCAGTTCACCCTCTGCCTTCAACTCATTTTCATCCATTGGATTCAATGTCCATTCCCTCTGTACATTTACGTTGTTTTTTTTTTGTTAATGTTGGCTTTTATTGTCGTCGTGCATCGATCAATCCGTCAGATATCATTTTTCCGCATGTCCTAGGGCTTCCGTAATGTGTGGTCTAGAAAATAATTTGAGGGAATCCGAATGTCCATCTATTTTTTTGTAGATTCAAAGATTTTCAATTGCTGAATTTTAACGTGGGAAACGAACAGGAAATTGTTGTATTAAAGGATAGAGAAAAAATAGGTATGGGTATTAAAATAAAAGGTAATGATATATGTATATAAAATTATGAAACGCAAATATAAAATAAATAGAAAATGTGAAATCCAATAATTATAATATATTTATTATAATTATAAAAGGAAAACATAAGTATATATTTAAAAAATATTTAAATATAATTATAATTTCTTGAACATTTGTATACATATACTATTTTTTTTATTCGTACATATATACTTTTCGGAAGAACATTAATTGTAGAATCGAATATAATGGGTCACCTTTCCAAAAATAGCAATTCTGTTTAAATAAAATTAATAATAATTGTTGTTATTCACGCAAGCACTCATGTGGTATCTAAGGGGAAGATAGATTACAAAAAAAAAATGGAGTATTGAATTATTTCGAAATTACGAAACGGACGAAAGGACGAGTAATTAAAAAATTTTAACTTCAAAGATGAGAGATATAAAAATTCTCATCGTTTTTCATGCGTGAAACTCAATCCCCAGTGAATGATAAATTACAACATGGAGACGAGATTATCGTTAACCCATTGGAAAAGTGGATTTGTAAAAAAAGTGGCGGATTGGTAAAAAAAAGTACTTGGATATTCTCAAGTCGACAGTGCGGCGCTTGTTTTCCTCGATTGTTTCGTGAGTTTAGTTGAGAGGGGTTTTCATAGGGAATGGGAACGTATTTCATTTCACTTTTATTTGTTTCACACCCAAGCCGACTCCCAAGTGAGCCGTTGAGGGTTGATCAAACGAGCGGTTGCTTTCAGGGTGCATTGTCCCACCCTTCAGCATTTTTCACTCCTTCTAAAAATCTTGGACGCTGTGCTCTAGTGAGGCACTCAAATCCGACTCTTGTTTCGGAATGGAAAATGAAATTTTTAGCTTTGAAAAAAAATCATCGTCTGGGGAATTATTGTATTTCATCCTGAAGTGCATGTGGGACTCGTTTGAAAAGTGTTTATTCTAGATATACTGGCATTTTTAAATGAATTTATTCGATAAATAAAATTTATAACAATATATTCAATGTTATAGTCTTTGTATATATTTTGTCATTCTATAGTGAAAGTTGAGTTCGGGTAATGCATTTAATTTTTTTAATCGAAAAATTATAATTATATTTTTTGATTTTATAGGCATTTTTCTCATTTTTATATACATATATATGACTATTTGTTTATTTAACCAATTTGTATCCAACTATTGAAAATTATATTTTTATATAGATATTATAATTATTTTAAAAATCTTTCAAAATGCTTAAATAATTATTAAAAAAACACATAATTAATATTTATTATTATCGGTATCTCGAAAGTCTATCAAGCTTATTCCTCATTGGTTGATAGTGGTCATAGGCGGTTAATTTGAATTCAGAGCTCCATGAATTTTTATATTTTCAATCATGATATTTATAATTACAGTTCGTTCGTGCTTAAAAAAATGTCTGCAAATCTTCAAAAGACACAATTTGGAAATAATGTGTTTTATGCGGCTGCGTGAATTGCTTGTGCAACTTTAAAAATTCTTGGAACAAATATCGAGTCCAAAATGTACTAATGCTCTTGAAACAACTCCAGGACGTGCGTTTGTGATACACAAAGTGCTCTGATGATGTGTGCCAGAATCACGTCACGTCGGTTTGTGATAAGCCTCCTCTATTCGGCCTTTGGATAAGGAAGAGAAAAATATTAAAAAATTGTAAAAAAAATGCACTATCAACGTCGTCTATCAGTGTTTCGCAGTGTCCGTGGTATTGCCGCTAGTAAAACTCGGTCGAAATCTATACCAAACATATGTATAAATGATATGACTATACCGAAAGCCACGAAATTGGATAAATTATTCCGGGAATTTCGTGGTTGATAGAATTTCCAATGACACTCGCAAGGGTTTAATGTCAAATCGAGGGGGAGCTCGTGAGGTCATACGAGAATTGCTTTGGTGTTGCCGCAGAATTTATAATACATGGTGACAATTTCGTTGATAACGGCCCATAAATTTTCGATTATTGTATCAATATCATCTGAAGTATTTCCACTGCTCTGCTATCTCGAGCATGTGAATAATCGATAACAATTTTAAAAAAGGATTTGTCCTCCGTTGATCGTCGATTGTCATTCCAGGAAGTATTTATCTAATAGATTCACGTATTTTTTGATTACAAAAATGAGTACTTCAGTCAATTCAAGTACTTCACATTAAGTGATCGTCAAAATTTTCCGTTCAAACTCAATTTTGCTCATTCATTAGCCGACATTTTGTGTTCTAAAACTCGAATTACTTCGTAATCTTCCGATTAAACTTGTAATAAAAATACATGAATATTTTTCTGAAAGATGGTAAAAATGGCCGGCTGAACTAGTGAAAGAGTCGTTCTACGGCTATTCGAAACCGCGTACTTCCCCTCTTCGTGGATTTTTATACAATTCCACGTTGAATTTTTGAATCGAGACGAATTCTATGGATTTGAATGAACAGATGCTTGTTCCTTTCATGACTGCATATGATGATAGATCGAGAGGAAGTATCAGCATCAGTACTTCACATATTGTGTTTCCCAAACCCATTATTCGATAGATTTACGCAGGATTCAACTGACCGAAAGGTTTCCGAGGATCAGCTTAGCATTGAAATTCTGATGGAATTCCACATGCTTATGCAAATGATTCTCCATCATACGATTCCATACAAAAAAAAAAAAAATTCACGCCGATTCCGTGAGCGTTGACTGTCTAAAACAAATTATATTTTCATCACCCGTCTATCAGTTAAAAACTATAATGATAGAATCACCGTAGGCCTCTAGTTTGATGTCCAAAATCATCTAACACCTGACTGAATGATTTGTCCTGAAGCCGAACACATGATCAACGAAGTCCGTTCGGTTGATACGATCAAGTCCTTCTATCAGTTTACCTGATTCAAAAGTTCCAAATGCCGAATAATAGTTCATGAAAGTATTGGGGGGTCGGTAAAATGCTCACATGACCGTTTGAATGTAGTTGGGGTGGTGTTGCAGGTCTGGAACGTGTAGCGGAAGAGTTGATGGGCCGTAGGAGATGGAAGCAATACCAGGACACCCTGTACAGCAGCACTCGGAGCGAATCAGCAAGCCAGCCGCATCACCGGCTCTATCCGGCCCTATCGACAACCTGCAGCAATCTAGCTGCGGGGAATGCCAGCCAGATCGGGTCGCAACACCATCGTCAGGCATCAACGGGCACTGTACATCACCAATCATCAACACCACCGCTGTCAGCGACAGTAATAACAACGACTGGACAAGAGCATACGTCAATAAAGCAGAAAGAATTGACGAATCACAGGGGTGGCGAGGAGTCCTGTCGCATAAGGCCCGAGGATATAAAATTAGAGATAGAAGCTGCACAGGAGGTGAACAGTGGTGGACGCTCCGAGTTACTGCAGCACGGGGAGGTTCATACCTTGAGGATACAGGAGCGTACGAGACAAAGAGTAAACGAAAACGGGGAAGACGAAGATTTCAACGAGAACGAGAACGACTCGGAGTCCGCCGAGAAGAGGCTGAAGTTGGACGATTCATTGAGGACCTCGGTCAGCCCACTGAGGGAAAACGAACGGTCACCCTCCAGAGATTCGCGGGCGAACGAGGGAACCGAGCCGGAAGGGACCAAGGTATCACACTTTTTATTGCTACGTACACATTGTCGTACTTTACCGGGAAAGAGGGTTATGAGTTTCGGGAATTTTTGCGTTGAGGGTAAAAACCATCGATTCAGCCGGTACGTTTTTCGTGGAAATTTTCAATGGACTTGATTTCGTTTGAAGGATTCAAGCTAATCGATTGTTAATGCAACCGATTTTTGGAAAGATAATTGGTGCTGGTGTAGATTAGACTTCCTAAAAAGGCAAATTCGACTAATAGGAAAGTTTCGTGACATCGAACATTTTTCCTGATGTGAGTCACTCTATCTTGCGGTCAAATTGCACAAACTAATATCCGAATCGCTAGAATTTCAATTATGACTGCTATTCGTAGAGAGTGGATGTGAATCATGTATTCTGTAGAATCGTTAGAACTTCAAGTGATCGATCACATTATTGAATAAAAAAAGGAATGAAGATATCGCGTATAGAAGTTTGACATCAAGTCTGAAAAGAAGAATTTGTCTAAAGTTTTCGTGTTTCTGGAATGTCTCCTACACACGACCCCCGCAGATTGATCACTTCCAAAGTAATTACTTCCCATAATCACGTTCTGTTAAAGTCCTTCAATTAACAAAATTGAATCAACTTTTTTGCATGATTGACGCAGGAACCGAGTGCGGAAAACGCGTTGGACCGGATACAGGTGACGCCGGGTCTATTGAGGGTAAAGAAGGAGGAGGAGTTACAGGAGTTACCGCAACAGGTGAACTGTGGAGGCGGCGATACTACGAGAGTAGATACCGAGGTCAACAGGCCAATAACCAAGGAACAATCGGAGTCTATCAACGATTGTACGTTAACGTATCCTGTCAACCGGCGAGTAAGTCCACCGCCGGAGGACTGGAAACCATTAGACAAGTGTTATCTCTGTCTCGATGGAAAACTGCCCCACGACGATCAAGCGCCACTTGTTAGTCTCAATTTCATTAATATTATCTGTTATTCTTTCATAATCAGTTAACTGTTTGCTTAATTATTCAGTCTTCATTCCAGAATTCATTATTCACTGACATAGGGAATCAATTTAAAAAGATTCATCGTAGAGAATTATTTTTTTTTATTGGGAATTGCAATATTCTGCAATCAGGAATGCGGATATGATGATTCGCAGAAGAATCAATCAGCCTTCTTGAATAATTTCAATTTATTATTTTCAATTTCATTGGTATTTCCGACAAGAACTTTATTTCATGATGAATTTTTCAGACTTAACTCGATTACTCAGTATATTAAATCTGAAAAACAATATAATTATGAAATAGCTTCATTCCAAATAATTTGGCTTATACACTCAAACATTATCGTTCAACTAAAATTCATGACTCAGTAACGATTTTATGTAAGAGCCATAAACAATATAAACTGATTCATAGCAATTTCATTAATATTCCTAATAATTATAAAACGATATCTGAATTGAGTTTAGATTCGATTAGTCTTATTAAAAATATTAAATATTCACACTTGAAGAAAATGCCACACTTCAACGATTTCACTGAAAAAAATTTATTTTTCCCATGCAAAATGATAATAATAATGGAAAATTCTGAAATGATGACAGCAAAGTCCATAATTTACCAATTTTTAGTTCCATTTTGCAATACTATAAATTGAGAAAAAGAAGATCGAACATTCGGTGATTTTTTTTTCTCGAATTTGACGAATCTTACATGAACAAACATAATAAAAATTTTCAGAGCCCACAAAGTGAGAGTAGTAGTAGTTCACGATCTGCAGAGTCTCCAATGTCGGTGCAAGTCGATCCAATGGCGGCTTCTGCAGTGGTTGCTGCCGCCCTTAGTGGCGCGTACCCCACATTACTGCCACAATGGGGATTACCACCAAGGGATGCACCCCTTGTTGGCATTCAGACACACCACGACACTGGCCAATCGGCGGATCAGCCCCTAGATCTCTCGGCTAAACCGAAAAACTCTCAGGTAATTTATACCCATGAGAAAATTTCACAATTGCAATTGCTC